CTTTCCCTCTCTCTCTCCCTCTCTCTCCCCCTCTCCCTCTCTCTCCCTCTCCCTCCCTCTCTCCCTCTCCCTCCCTCCCTCTCTCTCTCCCTCCCTCCCTCTCCCTTCCAGTCTCTTTGAAAAGCAATGGAAAAAATATCCTCAAGTGAGGGTAAAAAAAAATGCTGATGGATATTAATTATAATGGAGAAGTTACACACCTGCCCAGGGAAGGCGGAGGTGACTCTGAATCCCTCTGATCACCATTCGTACTGTTGTCCTTGCTGTTCAGAAAGAGGCCCTTAACTTCACGCCGCCTGGCGTGCTATGGCTGGAGGCCTTGTCCTCATCGTTGATGACCCTGCCCCTCAGCATGTCCAGCGATGGGAAGCTCTACCTGCACAGAGCAGACTGGCCCTTGTCGAGCAGTTTCCTGTTCTGAAGTGACGTTCCCCTGTCCACTGTACAGAGTCCTCTTTTTCTGGAGTGATTCCAAGTCAGTGTAATCCTTGTACGTGAAAACCCTTCAAATGTGAGAAGCTGGCTGTCACGCTCCAGTTTGCCTCCTCCCTCCCTCGCCCCCAGACTGAGCGTTCAGGGTTCCTGTAAACCATCTCAGTCTCCCCCCGTGGCCCATCAGCCGGGCTTGCCTCTCAAAAAGGAGACCTCCACCCGGGCCTAGTGTCCCGGCCCTGCGCCTTGTACTTCAGCAGCACCCTCACCTCCCTGTGGGGAGCCCAGTGTGGGACACCGTGCTTCTTGTTACATCCGGCCATTGCGTTCGTCAGCTACGGGCTGAGGGCTTAGCAGATCCACGTCACGTGTGAGTGTGTGGGGACAATGAAGTCCGTCAGTCATAGATCGTACCTTCAGTGAGCTTACATTCCTGGTAGAGCATAGACCGGGAAACGGGACGAAGAAATAGGACGTGTTTACATCCACAGCATTAATTTAGGACAGAAAATATGATAAGATGCTCCAGGGGAGGAAATCACCTGGGGGGACAAGAGGGCTGGGGAAGGGTGTAGAGTGGGCCTTGTGAAGAGGGCAGGATTTGGGCTGAAGGAGCTGAAGGAAGACAGGAACCAGAGTGATGTCTGAGGTGGGGAGCATAGGGAGGGAAGACCAAGTGATGGATTTGGGGATTCGGAAAGGAAGGCTGAACCAAGTGGTGGAGGATCCTGAGCGCCAGGCCCAAGGAGCTTGGCCTGATTAGGTAGTGAGGGCCGCTGAAGGTGAGTGACCAGCGAGCACCAGGTGCAGGCCTGTGCTTCAGGGAGGTTGTCTGAGCTTTGGGTCAGCTGCTCGGACAGGCGGTGTGTGGAGGTGGAGGAGAGGGCAGTGAGGGCCTGAATCGGGAGAGGCAGGGAAGTGCCCGTGGGGACAGACCCAGAGACAAGGTCTAGGAGGCAAATGTGTAGCACATGGCCACTGGCTGGCTGGAGGGGGTAAGGAACTGTTGTAAGAAGAAATAGCTGAAATTAGCCTTATCTTTTTTATGCCGTATTTGTAGGGATTTATTTTTTTACCTCAAATTCTAGATCTCACATTTACCCATTAAATTTAATGTTACTTTTAGCTCACCATTTTGGTCTATTGAGATATTTTTTATTTTTATTTTTTTAAATATATCTTTATTGATTTCAGAGAGAGGAAGGGAGAGGGAGAAGGAGAGATAGAAACATCAATGATGAGAGAGTCATTGATCTGCTGCAGCCCGCAACCGGGGCATGTGCCCTGACCGGGAATCGAACCCTGATCCCCTGGATCCTAGGTCGACGCTCAACTGCTGAGCCACGCCCAGCTGGGCTTGAGATATTTTTTAATTCTTATTCTGTCATCAGAAAATTTTAGCTAGAAAATCATGTCATTCTTGATTTTATAAGCAACCTTTTGGTTTCTTTATATATCATTTTTTAAAATGTTCAACAGGACAGGGCTAAATTAAGAATTTGGGGGCCATGTCTCTCGAGACTTCCGTTGAGATCGACATCCATGTATCACTCAGCACTTCAGGAGTTCATGTGTAGCTCAAGAGCAGGCTCTGGAGCCTAAATTTGCACACCAGCTCTTCCACTTTTTAGTTATATGACATTGAACAGTTACTCGGCCTTTCTGTGCCTTAATTCTCTCATGTGCAAAAAGAAAATGTCAGTCTTTTAGAACTGTTTTTAGCAAAATAGTAAGCTCCCCCCCAAATGAGTAGCTGCTATTTTGATAATGACAGTGCTGATGATGACAAAGATGACCTTTACCACCATTCATGACCGTGCCCCCGTTTTATCATCTGCCCTGTAAGAGGCTGTTAGATTTCTTGCTGGTCACCTGCCAGTCCTGGTCCTTTTAATGCAG